AATTTTCCAAATGTATATTATCATGTATCTCTCTCGCCTGCGTTCCAGGGAATACAAATCATGGGACTTCAACCGTTCCGTACTTATAAGTGCCGAAAAAGTTCTTTGTACACTCTCCAGGTCAGCAATTTCGCCTGCCATGAAAGGGGCAGTTAGTGTGAAGCAGTATTCTTGCCTAGAGAGCATAAGCGATTTGAAGAGAATCATGGTGAGCTTGGCGTCCGTAGTTTTGACAGTTTTCATTATCCATCCCATCATTTTCCTAGCAGATGAGGTAGATACATTGTTGTGGTCTTTGAAACCGAGATCCTCTGACATTATCACTGCCAGGTCCTTCATATTACTTTTTCGTTCTACTGTATGATTAGAATTTGTTGTATACCCTAATACAGTTTTAATTTCCTCAAGTTTTTGAAATTTCTCTTCATTGAACTTCATATTGTTTTGAGTGGCCCATTTGAAGATTTGGTTGATGTCCGCTTGGAGTCTTGCGGTGTCTTCGATGTAGGTCACTGTCGTGGCAATTCGGGTGTCATCCACAAAGGAAGACACGGAGCTATGGCTTACATCTCTGTCTATGTCAGATATGAGGATGAGGAATAGGATGGGAGCGAGTACTGTGCCTTGTGGAACAGAGCTTTTCACCGTAACTGCCTCTGTTTACTATTACTCTTTGTTTCTATTTATTAGGAAGTTATAGATCCATATACCAACTTTTCCTGTTAATCCTTTATCAGGCATTTTGTGCTATTACACCATGGTCACACTTGTCGAAGGCTTTTGCAAAGTCTGTGTATACTACATCTGTATCTTGTTTATCCTCTGTAGCATCCAGGGCCTTGTCATAGTGGTCCAGTAGCTGGGACAGGCAGGAGCGACCTGCTCTAAGCCCGTGTTGCCCTGGGTTGTGTAACTGATGGGTATCTAGGTGGCTGGCGATCTTGCTTCTTAGAACCTTTTCAAATATTTTTATGAAATGGGATGTTAGTGATATCGGTCTGTTGTTTTTTGCAATTACTTTATTGCCACCATTGTACAGTGGGGTTATGTCTGTTGTTTTTAGTGAGTGTGAGATGACCCCTGTGTCCATGCTCCCTCTCCATAGAATACTGAAGGCACGTGACAGTCTATCCATTAACAGTAGTCTATCCATTGACAGTAGTCTATCCATTGACAGTAGTCTATTCATTGACTGCTAGTCTATCTTTTGACTACTAGTCTGTCCTTTGAGTATCAGTCTATCCATTGACTACAAGTCTATCCTTTGACTGCTAGTCTTTCTTTTGACTACTAGTCTATTAATGATGTGTTACAGAGCTTAAGAACCTAAGAATAAAATAACACTGCAGTAGGCCTATCGGCCCATGCTACGTAGGTCTAACTCACGCCCATCTACACCCACTTATGCATCCGTTCTGCCTATATTTAGAGTTCCCAATAACTTTCTCTTCGATTATGCTACCTAGGAGTTTGCTCCATTAATCCACAGTTCCACTGCTAAACTAATACGTATTTCAAAACACACTTTCTGAATCTAAATTGACCCAACCTGAATCAAATGCAGCGAGAAATATTTTCAACACGTTATTTGCATTCTCTATTTATCCCTGTTTTCCATTTGTACACTTCAGTCATATCTCCCCTAAATCTCCGTCTCTAAAAACAGTGCAAACTTAGTGCCGTCGGCCTATCTTCCCATATAAATGATCGCGCCGTCTCTGTCTCTGTAAATAGCAGTTGTCAATGATATATATATATATAATATATATATATATATATATATATATATAATATATATATATATATATATATACTTAAAAATATGGATGAGGATTTGATCAGTGGTTCATGCATATGGCAGACTCAACCCTGTAATCATTCAGCCGTAGAGTTTACAATACAAAGATTTTACAACCAACATTTATGTGACTCTGCGATCTCATTCTACATCCTCATGTATCTTTCATGGTAAATCTGTTCTCATGGCCTTGACGGGTATGAGAAAAGCTTCACCATGAAAATTTCTGGGGTGATAGTAAGGTCACATTTAGTGCCGCTGATAAGGTTAGTTTACAAGAGTATATATGATAAATGACCATTATTTTAAAAGAGGTGGAGCGGTAAGCCAGCGGAAGGCCTCGGTCAGATGAGCAAAAGCTGCAACGGCAGGTTATCATCTGACTAAGAGCCGCGTCAGAAGACGTCCTATTTCTTGACGAACCTCACCTAACCTACAGAAGTACTGGGTGTAAAACCATTCTTTCGTAAAACTCGTAAGTGTAAACTACCAAGCTGAATATTGAAGTTTAGAAATACCTGAGTATTTTCGTGTGTTCATCTACGCATCTTGAAATCAACTAGAAAAATGGTAAAATACGCTAATACAGTAAGAATGTGAGGTGCTTAAACTCGAGGGAAACTTTCACCAATCATACACTTGTGAGCATGACCGCCATGGGGCAATGGACCCAACACAGTGCTGCTTTAATTAGGATTCTCACAGGTTCATCAAATGAAACAGACATTATCTTGGTCACTTGAGCAACAAGCTGACAAGCGAGTATATAGAAACGAAATATAGACCAAGATATGATCTATGACGACATGTCGCTCAAAAATTAACTTTATCAAGCTTCCGACTTAATAAGGTGCAATCCTGAGAAAAATATACAAATTAAGTCTTCCAGTATTGCGTTTCTTCATATCAGTCATTATCGTGGTTCATATTACACAGAGTCTTAAAAATGTGTAGATTTTTAAGACTTTATATTATTAAGAAGGAAAATGCAATGTTGAAGACCGAAAAAAAAAATGTACAGGTGGAGGCTGTAGTTGAACATGAAAGCTGGCTGGTCAAAATTCTATTAGTGAATGTTAGAATCAAAAGTTTTGCACAAAACTCAGTAAAGCCAATGTAAGGAAATGATTTTGACAAAGAATTCAAACTGTTCTCCCTTTACGCCAGTATTTTTATTTTATATCAGAAAGCTGTCTACCTCATCGACACCATAATCTAGGTGGGACATAAAGTATGCATCATGCTTAACTAACGTGGACTCTTCAGTGTTAAGTTGAAATAATGCATTTCAAGGTAGGCAGTCTCTAGCAGTAGTTCAGTTTACACATTTGCTGTTGTTTCGAAGAGGAAGAGACAAAGCACTGATGTCATATTTAGAATGTTTCATGACATTCTCATTTGATGATTAAGACACATATGCAACAGCGAGTATCTTTATTGTTGAAACGTTTCGCCTACACAGCTTTCTTCAGTCAAATACAGAGGAAGCAAGTGAAGTAGTGAAATGAAGATGATGTAATCGGTGCTTGAAGAAATAGTATTTGAGGCGGTCAGATTGACCGTCGGTATTTTATAAGATTTTCAGCACATCTTAGTTGATTCTATATAAATATCAGCAAACTTGTGTAAGGAACAAAATATACGCCTTTCAAAGGTCGGATCATCATATATTCCTTATTTTCAAGATCTACTGTCAAGGTCATGCTTTTGAAAAGGTTTTGAAAGTAGGTTCAGTTCTATATCATCTTTTCATGGAAATACTAAAGGTTTTGTTAATGAAGATACGATAATATCGTAAGTTAAATGAAATTTCATGGATTTTTCTAACATCGCCATCAAAGAACTCAGAACTGTGTCTTCTATAGAGGAAATTATAGAGGAAAATATTGATATTGACTCGTGTAGTGATTCAGCATCTCGTAGCGTTAATATTTTTTGTGTGCAAATCCTTTGTTGCTGTAGTTCGTTAAATGATTTTTCCCTAGCAAGCATTAACGCTCATTGTTCAACGTTAATTAACTTTGTTGCCCTGGGTATTTTTCTTTAATGCTTTAATAGAGAAAAGGTCGATTTTACGTCATGTTCACCAAGGAAAGGATCATTTACTTTTATGGAAGCTCTCTGATCGTTCATTAAAGGAGCACTGCACAGCGTTTACTGGGTCATTCCCTTCAAGGGCATTTGCCATCCGAACTTAATATTAGCGAAGGGCTCTTTATCAAAGGAACCGGATCCATCCTCTTCCTCCTTGGACAATCCCAGGAGCAGCATCACCCCTGCGGACTGAGTTCTTACCATGCTCTCAGGTCCGTTAACTCACCTGGTGAATAATAACTTTGCACTGATAGCTAAAATAAGAAGAGGCCTGCATGTTAATTCTTTCCAGAAGGGGTACAAACACCTTTGCTTTTGTTAGTTTCTTTGGAAATATGTGTGTGAATACAAGAAAATGTTAATGTACTCATGCTGTCTCCTTGCCATAATTATCAACACATTCTTACGATAGCAAGGGTGCGTTGGACACCAGAACTTATGCTACCACTAACACAAACTATTACCAACATTACCTTCAGAAATCACAACCACAATTCCTGTAACTCTCAATCTAGCAACAATCATCACTATACCAACCAAAATGTTTTCTACCATCACTATACGTGTCATCACTATGTTTATCACTATCACACCGTGATTACTACCACCATCAATACACTCTCAACCACCATCAGAGTGATCATCATTACTCTAGTAACCATTAACTTTATGCAAACCACGATCATTATCACAATCAGCATCACTATAAAAACAAGAAACATTTTTCCAGCCACCAACACTATATACCAATCAACAGCACTATACCAACAACTAACACATCAGCTACCAACGCTATGTAGCACCTGCCACCATCACAGTACCTACCATCAGTACTATACCTACCACTAACACCATACCTCTCACCATCTCTATACCTTCACCGAGACTACAACCACCATTACTATACGTACCACCAACACTACATGCCATCACCAAGCTATATTCCAACCATCAACACCACATACCAACACCCATCACTAAACCTACTATCAACACTACATACCAACCACCAACACCTCATACCAACACCCATTTCCATACCAACCACCGACACTACACACCACCTCTATCGTCAACAAGCCAAAACATAGAACGTATATTATCTTACATCTTGCCATACCTTGAGCTCCAGCTCTCGCATCTTGTTGTTCATCATTATCGTTTTTCTCGTGATCTTCTCCCCCGGGCGGTTTAAGCGCAGGACCCACGGTAACCACTGCAGGAACAAACTCTTCACCTGAACACCACACAAAGGGGAAAACAAAAAATGAATGAGCATGTCTGAAACTACAGTAAAATTGCTGGAAAACAGAGAGAATGTTATCATGACGTTTAGTTAAAGTTATAAAAAAAAAGAACCTTAGTGGGTTACTCGGTGTTTGTAATATTGAAGGACTGATACTTCGTTTGGTAATAGCTGGGTAAATACGCTACTCTGGTAGCCAGTCTAGAGAGAGAGAGAGAGAGAGAGAGAGAGAGAGACTGACAGACAGGCAGACAGAAACTGACAGAGACAGTGTTCAGTTTCTGATAAGTTAGACACTTTTAATTAAATATACTGTACTACTACAAGTGCATAAATTACATAATAATGTGACAGATGGGTGGGGAATCAATGTTTATATTTCCAAAAACCTTTTCCTATGGAGTTTCCAATGACACAAGAGTAAAAGTTGAACTTTTACCATGGGTAAAAGTTTATTTTATTTGAAATGAAAATATAAAGAGATGAATGATTTAATTAAATGCAGATAAGCGTCATGTAATGGAAATTGGTGAACACAATAAGGCTACTTGAAGATTAATAGAATAGACGAATCTAGGAGTAATTATTTCTAAAAAAAACATACTATTGAAGATTACATTAATGAATTTGCAAGAAATGCCCAACGTGCGCTGATAAAGTTCCAAACTGCGTTCAGATTTATATGCATGAAGAAAATGCTGAAATATTGTCCACAATAGTACATTAAACAGATATGGGATTATACAAGGGCCTTATCTTCGAAAATTTGAAGATAAAAAAAATTAAAAGGCTGTGAGAGGTAAGAAATGTGTGATAAAACAATGAGCGAAAACACTGAAAATGTTTATAGGAGCCGATATGAGGGGTAAAAAAAAAAACAGATAAAGACAAAATGATTAAATATGTTATTATCACACGATGCTCTTACACGCAGAGTTCGTGATGGGAGAAATGGCAACATAAAAAAGATATACATTGCTATCACCTTCAAAGCGCAAATGTGTAAGCCATACATACGAAAACGGGAATCTGCCCTAAATAATACGTTATATACTATTCAATCCAAAATTGTAGATGAAGGAACTCCAAACAGTAGGCTGCCTGCCCAAAATTGTAACGGCACAGCCAAAAAGAAAAAAAAAGATTGAAAATGATAACTTTGAAGATACAGTGAGCAGAAAGAGCCAAAAAATGTGAAAACTACGACCATGGAGAAAATTGACTAATGAACATTAACTTGCATGTGAGACACAGAACATATAAGGGAGAAATAATGATCGAATTCAGCAACGAGGAACATCTTATCCCAGAGTTTTCATGGATTCAATGTGGATGAGAAGGGCGACTCAAAGAAGATATATTATACCAAACCTAGACGATCAAACGACCCAATGCATTAACATTTAGAGTCGGGGACGCAAATACACAGACCGAAAGAAAAAACAAAGCAATATTCAGAAACGAAACCTGGGTACAGATAAATCGAAAAGGCGGGTGAAAGATCCATCCCTACTTGGAGACACGCAAGCAAAAAAAAAAAAAAAAAAAAAAAAACAACAAACTTTTGGTTCAATAGATTAAACAAGGAAGGACTGAAAAAGGAGAATATAATAAAGAGCGACCTCAATCGTAAGAAACCATAAAAAGCAGCAAAAATGCAAGAATTGAAAACACTTAGATCATAGGGGATATGGGAGACAGTTTGAGTATACCTTAACAGTAAAGTCGAAATTGGAAGCAAATTTCACAAGATGTTCACTCGAAGGAAATTAACAGTATAGGGTCAGGTAATAAGCCCGAAGAAGAAAAGTGATATTCTCACGAAAAATTGCGATGAATTAAACATAGAATTCAACAAAAAATTCTTAATTGTTTACACAAATAAAATAAACATCTGTAACAACAAGGAAAAGGAGTGACAAACAGAACCCGTGTAGTGGACTAGAAAATAACCGAGAAAGCAGAGAACTGCTAATGGAACCGAACACAACAATGGCGATAACTATATTAAAATTTCAGTATCTATTAAAATAGATACTGAGAGAAGGGGCAATTGCCCAGAGCAAACTACTTGCCCAAATTTATAGTAAATTACTAGAAACAGGCAAAATATCAGATATCTGGAAAATAACAAATACAATCCTGTTACACAAAATGTGACAGACAGGCATCGCTAAACAACACTCCAACATTTCTGACAAGCTTTCAATGTAAGGTGATCCATAAAGTAATAATCAAAGACTGAGAGAACATCTAGAATGAATAGGATTAATCTAAAGTAAGATAGACGTTTCATAAAAAGACACCGAGATTAAATAGGAAAAGCTTGAAAAAGCTCTTGTTACCGAGCAATAAAAAGTTTGCTGTGCACATAGCATTTTTTTACGAAGAAAGATAAGTGTTCAGAGGGAGGTGATGTTACTAGCGTGTCTGCACAAAGGTCGGTCCAGAATCCTACGTATACATTAAACAAGAGTGTTAGCTAGAGGTAATATTTCCAGCTAGCCGATCAGCTATTGCGATGCCAATCCTGAAATCACGAAATGATTATTCCACTGAGCTCAAATTCCTCCATTTTATTATGACTTCTTTCTTGTGAAGATCTTGGTGATTGTTAACGCTTGCCTGGGCTAGTTTTTAAAGCTATGAACTCTTTTCTTCATCTCAATGCCCTTTTCGGAGGATGTGTTTTATCACCAACATCCAACAACCAACAACCAACAATACAATATAAAATTATTGTTGGAGCTGCAGAATATTTATGATAGTCCATTGAGGCATCTGATTCCTCTGAATCTCCAAGAGATTCTTACTCTCCTTCTGGGCATATCACTGTGCAGGATATGCGCTTCTTAATTTATATGATACCGAGAGATTAAAAGTTTTTGTATCATTACAAAATCCTTATAGCTAATTTTAATTGGGTCACAGCTAATACAAATAAATCGAGTGTGGACTTTACTAAATGCCAATGACTAGGTCAAATATAGTAGTCCCATGTCATTGGAATCTTCTCTCCCACTTGTGGACCTTAACATAGATATTAAGACGGCTGCGTTGATGGAACAACGTTGCTAACTTTCAACAAGCTCAGGCAAATCACTATGATGGATGCATTGTGACTATTGTGTTGTTACTTGTCAGGTCGATTCAGCATCACTGCAGTTGGAATTTAATGGATTAGTGACCGCAAGGACACAACCACATTCCCGGGTGTAACGTCGATAGATACCTTTTTCTTCTTAATGATTTACTGCACTCCAGTGACGCACAACCACCTGATGAAGTTGATCATCAATGGTCCACCTGCTACGTGTGGCAAGTGTGTGGCACTTTCTGCTTCAGTTTTTCACTCTGATGTGTCTATGGCACCATGTTCCATGTTTCTCGGGGATAAAAGGAAAAGGCGCTTGTTTTCCTCCATTCTTGGAAATTGTAGTACACAAATAACCCCCATTGACTTTGTCAATGGTCCAAGTCGAATCGAAACGTCGTCGTAAGCTTCTCTCTTTTATGTGCGGGTTATTTGTGTATCGTTCCAGTCACGGTATTGTGCCTTTTTTGTTATTTATAAATTGCAGTACTTACCGCGAGATATATTTATTGTGTTATTCCAGTAACATTTAAATTTATAATTTAATTTTGTAAATAGGGATTTTCCAATAATTAACTTATTTTAAAATCTACTATAATTTTGTTCGTTTTAATATTTATTATATGCAGCATTAGGGAACGCGTTGTTGTTACGTCAGAAGGTACACCGAGAGCGCATAGGGCTCAATGTGATCCCATGGTTTGTTAAAGTGAGATGGATCCTTGCCATCGGTACGCCAATAGTTGCTTAACCACTGAGCTCATCAGGAAAAATCTTTCCTGACTAAACTAACAATCACTACCTATGATTCTAGGGAAGTTTTAACAAGAAGTCAGTTAGTCTGCTGCCTTATGGTTATCCACCACGGTTACTGCTGTTTCCACCAGTCCACTTTCGCTACCCTCGCTGAGTTACCTCAAGACCCACGCCCACCCACCCAGCATGGTGCACAATTATTTACACGGGCGGGAGCGTGCAAGACCCAGGGTGCTGAGGGAATCGATCACCGCTGGTAGTAAGGCCAGGGTTCGCCGTCACTCTCGCAACTTGACCTCTTCAAGCCGAACCTTCGTTGATAGGAAGGAGGCCACCTCCTGGCCAACCGTTGCAACTTCTGGCACATGCTTCCCCTTCTACTTTCCATGATTTTGTGAATTAATGTACATTTCACTATAAGGAAATTACGTTCTCATAACCTACAACAATGAACATTCTGTACTCGTACACCCGTTACATATATTTAATTGATGTATCACACAGAAGAAAATGACTTTTTTTAAATATAATTTATAGCCATATATTCTATATGTGTGCTTGCATAAACAGGTACACCCGGTGATAACAGACTTCCTGTACATGTTGCCATGACAGTAATGGAATGATATAACACTGCTATTCCTAAATATGTGATTCTAATGCCGAATAGTAAGAATCAGCTTGTTTCATCTCTTCCCTTCATTTCCTAACGATTACTATTATGTAGTTCTTCCACATTACCAAACCTGCAATAATATGAACAATATGAGATTCTAAAATGTGTCTAATATACACTAGATTATATAAAATGGCAGATGTGACAATAATATGACTTTGAACTCATCCTACTAGAGTGTTTATATGACTTATGTGATTTAAAATGAGACACTTGTGCAAAATTGGGAAATGTTAATTGCGGACACATTTTTCCGGCCAGTGGGTTCTTCAGTCCAAGATGGAAGGTGAGGAAGAGTCTGAGGTAATTAGTCCTTCAGCCTTGAGTCGATGTGTTCAGTTCCATCAGTTTTGTGAAAAGTACAGTAAATGCTCGTAGAAGTGTGTGTGATAACCCCACCGGTTTTTAATTAGCAGTGCAACCCCTGATCCCCCTCTGCTCCTTCTATCCTTCTTTAGGATCTGA